TCTTGGCTTGCACAAACGGCTGAATAATTCAAGGCATCGTGTCCATTGGTTAGCTAGTAAGTCTGATAGGTTATCATTAGAGAAGGTTCAAGGCTGAAAGCTACCTATCTTGATGCAAGATATTTTCAATTTATACTCTTTCGACAAATTCTGCATATTGTTGCATTTCCGTTGTCATTAAATTTCATTCATGTAGGGGATTGTTAGAAATGGTTTTGGAAGTTTTGAAAAAATCAAAATTTTCCTTTACTTTGGTCTAATTTTTAGGTGGGACCCACGCGCCAAAGTTGGCGGGTTTAAGTGGTAACGCATTCTATGCCGCATTGTGATTCATGTGGTATATTTGGTTGCTCAGAACCATTATCGGGTGAATGGGAAATTGAAGTCAAAGAGAGCTCCATAGAAAGGGTGTTTTTGGTGAAATTTCTGAAAGTTTAAATAAAGGCTTGTCCCACATTGATTTGGTGGGAAACTTTGAGTGGATTTATAAGGCTTGGGGTTAGAACTTAGGGTAGGCCCCAAGGGGCACCCAAGTTTTGTAGAGAGGAAGGTTAAAGGCAAAGTGGGCTAGACCCATTGGACCCAAAATAAACACATACGTGCGCGTCGCCGCCGTTCGTTCGATCGGTCGAGCGGACTGGGCTGGGCTTGGGCACGGGTACGTGATGTGTGGTGTGGTTGGGCTTGTCTGGCCCAATACCTATCTTTTTGGGCTAAAAACATTTGAATTTTATTTTCTAAAATTAAATTCTAATTTTTTGGAATTTGAATTTCGAAAATTAATTTCAAAAATTGGCTCCGGTTTTATTTTCCCCACCCAGACATATTCAAATCTGTTCAATAAAGGTTTTATCTGTTCAAAATTTGAACCCAACAGATTTGTATCTGTTTATTCAAACCAAATAGGTACCATTCTTGTTCATTCAAATCTGTACCTGTTTAATTCAAATTAAATAGCTACTACTCTATTTATAAATAAGCAGCCCCTCATTTGATGTTTTTACTTCAATTTTCGTCCAAGATATTTTGCAATTTCTCTCTACATTTTGCTACATTATTTTCTTGTGAGAAATAGTGTAAACACAAAAACACAACGTGTGTTCGTTGTGTAAACAATTTGTAGTGCTGCTATTGTTTGTTATTGATTATTTTATCCTGGTAGATAGACCTCCACAATCTAAAAGCACCGTGAAGATGACGAATCTGTCTTAAAAATACGGTGTTAAACACTGGACTTGATCAGAAATTTGTTCAAAAAATTAATTTATTTCCTGTTTTATTATTTTTCTGTTTTAGATTTCATTTTGTTTTTGTAACAAAATAAAAAATCTATTTTATTTATTTTATTTTATTTTCTGATTTGATTTTTGTAATCAAACGATCTCTCTCTTATCCTTTATTTTTTCTATGGGCAATGGTAGAGGGCCACAATTTTTGTGACCTTCAAACATTATTCTTTTTCTATATTCCGTTTGTTATTAAGTACACAAATAAAATTGATTTATTTCATTAAATACAGCAACATCAAATTCCTGAGCAGAGCCCCTTTGGAGAAATGAGTGAAGTGGATTCTCCTCCCAACACTGTTTTGCCGCCTTACAGTCCTGCAAACAATGGGTAACAGTCTCCGGAACATCCTCGCAGACCTATGGATGGCAATGGGGGTTAATGAGGTGGATATTAATTTCTCATTTTCATTCTCCTATAATAAATTTTTTCCATTCTCCATTCCCCATTACCCATGGGTACCACCCTCCCCATTTCCTAATGGGTTTGGATTTTCCCCAACCCACTTTAATCCCCATTTTTATTTTATTTTTATTTTTTATATTTAATGTTAACAACCTTTTTTTTTTTAAATGTTCACAACAAAAGCTAAATATACTTTCAATCTTTTTTTTCTTTTTTAATGTATTTAATGTTAAGAATTTTTTTTTTATAAAGGTTTTAGCTAAATATACCTTCAATTTTTTTTTTTTTTAAGGTTCACAACAAAAACTAAATATACCTTCAATCTTTTTTCTTTCTTTTTTAATATATTTAATGTTAACAACTTTTTTTTTTTAGCTAAATATACCTTCAATCTCTTTTTTTTTTAATATATTTAATGTTAACAACTTATTTTTTTATTTTTTTTTAGGTTCACAACAAAAGCTAAATATACATTCAATCTTATTTATTTTATTTGGTTCAACAACAAAATCAAATACACATTAATTAATTAATTAAAAAGTTTGTTTTATAATAATCAAATATATAATTTTGAGACAATCAAATAAGTTTTAGTAATTGAAAAAAAAAGTGGAAGAACGTGGAAGATTAAAAAAAAAATTACAACCATCTCTCTCTCTCTCACTCTCACTCTCACTCTCACTCTCAATAAGAACCTGATTAAAA